GAATTTCAAACATGCCTGCTGACTCTCTCTCTCTCTCAAGCAGGCCTGTTTCACGCACAAATGTTCCTACACAGAGAAAGCCCCGTGTAGGGTAACAAAGAAGGAAAGAAAACAGTTGCCTTGCGTGGTAACAGACAGTTCTCTTAACGCAGGTTATATGTCACTGAAAGTCACCCAAAAAACCTCCATGGTTAAGTAGACATAGGAAGGGTGTGTGGTGAGCATACCAGCTTCATTGCTAATACTATCACCCTCCACAAGTGGCAGCCTGGAGATGGAATCTGCATTACAAGAGGCTCCCTGCTGCAGAGAGTCATCCTTCAATTTGTGGAGGACAACCAGGGTGTGTGTGTGTGACAGAGCTAGCATGCTCAGACCCATTAATCCCGCCACTAACTCACATGCTTACTAAACACAGACGTATTTAGGAGTGAAGAGGGCTACTGCCTTTAACAAAACAGAAAGGCTCTGTGGTCTACATGAACCCAACCTTTAAAGAAGAGACATGTTGCGTAGTGCCATATGCTTCCAAGGGTCATCAGCTAAGAGCAGGGCCTTTAGCGTGGTGGCACCTGCCCCTTGGAATGCACTCCCAACGAACATCAGGCGGGTACCTACAGTATTAGCATTCAGAGGCCTGCTCATTTATCTGTCACCCATGTTTTCCCTGATGGGGGCTCTGCCTATGTTTATGTATTAACATGATCTACTCATTTGTGATGCATTGTGTGCTTGTTTCACGAACGTAATTTTGCTGCCATTTTCATGCTGTTCATCGTCAGTATAATTTTTTCGAAATTCTGATGATTTTCAAAGTTTGCAAATAAATGCAGGGGTGCCACCAGAGTCTTTGTTGTAATGACATAAGAAAAAGACGTTTGTGCAACTATCACACATTTTTAATTTTATTTTATGGATTGAGTGCTGGCATAATCTAGCTTCTTTTCATCTTAAAATGGGCAACAGCTCTTGGGCATGATGATTCCCATCTATGTTAGCTGGTAATCCTGGAGATGCCAGGGAATCAATCTGGGATCTTCTGCATGCAAAGCACATCCTCTTCAACAGAGCAATGGCCTCCTCCTCTGCTCAATAAACACTTTACTCGCAAGGCCACCTTAAGCATGGGGCAATGGGCCATCATCTCAATCCCCATTCCATGGAGTGATCTGCAAGCAGCTTCTGCTGCCATAAACTCCAGGAATTTCACACAGCATCTAGGCTGGCATATGGGGATATGCATCCCCCAGATTAGACTCAGCCGACTCCAGCTGCTGATCCCTAGCACACGTGCTTTCCTCCTGCCCTGGTAGTGTCAAGGGAAACGAGGCAAAACCCTGGCAAAGTGGAACTCCTACACAAGGCCTAGACACAATTCCACAACAAAGCTATTGACACAGTCGAGAAAATATTTCCCTCCCTTTTTGTTATTAATAGTTTTTCACATATTCTTTTTAACATACAGTTCCACTTTCGGTCCCTCTCCACAGCACACATCCAAACATAATAATAGCCAGGCAGAGGGCCTTCTCAGTAGTGGCGCCTGCCCTGTGGAATGCCCTCCCATCAGATGTTGAGGAAATAAACAACTATCTGACTTTCAGAAGACATCTGAAGACAGCCCTGTTTAGGGAAGTTTTTAATGTTTGTTATTTTATCACATTATTATTATTATTATTATTATTATTATTATTCTCTTGGGAGCCACTCAGAGTGAGTGGGGTATAAATAAATAATAATAATAATAATAATAATAATAATAATTATTATTATTATTATTATTATTAATCGCCCCTACAACTAAAGCTCAGCAAATAAATGTCAGTATCATTATATGGCCTATATATATATATATATTTCATATATATGTATATATATGTGTGTGTGTGCATCAGCAAATAGTTCTAAGGACCCACTCCAACATTTAATTCAACTTCACTGATTTCCTCACTCAAAACAAAAAGAAAGCACCCACATTTCAAACACACGCACACACACACACAACTTACAGAGAAAGCCTTGTTCTTCTGGGCAACCGTGATCCGGCCAGTCGGTGTACTGCAAATGCCACACCGTCTTCTCCTGCCCCAGCAGAAGGTGCTTGACCTTGAGACCCGTCGTGGCATAGCAACCAGAATCAGTGCGGAATTTGGTGGTCACCTTGAACTTCCCGTAAGTGGCTGAGCTGTGCTTGGAGCCGAGTTTCGGCCAGTAGCGATGGCTCTTGGCTCTTCCTCTTTCCTGTCCCACAGCAAAAGGAAGGAGAAGCAAAAAAATCAGCACTGTCCTGTTCTTACAGCCACAAGCCCCAGTGAACAATGGGTATGCCTAAAAATCAAGTACAGTGCCAGTGTGGTTTAAAGCAAGGGTGGGAATACTTCAGGAACGCAGGCCAGTCGTGGCCCTCCAGGCCTCAAAACTCTACCTAGGCCTCACCCATCTCTAGCCTTTCATCACACCCCAAGTGTTTTGCCTGGCTGGAATGTGTCCTTGAAAGTTTTGGCTCAGCAGACTCCAGTTGCTGATCTTTAGCATAAATGCTTTCCTCCTACCCCAGAAGCTGCTGTAGGGTCAAGGGAAACTGGGCAAAACCCTGGCAAAGTGTAACTTTTCCGCAAACTGACCCCTTCTCCCTCAGGGCGCCATGATAAAGCTGGTGCCACCAACCAGTGAAGACTTCACAGCTACAGAACAAGTGTCACACACTCTTAGGCACACCTGTATGGATTGTACACGCCGCAAGAAAAATCTGAAGACCAGTGTAAAGGAATTAAGAGAATGGCTCGAAACATCCCATAATTGTTCACAGTCCCAAAATGTGTGTTCAGGCTAATAACTACACAACAACATGCAGCCTCAAACGATGCTGTGTGCTCCAGACAAAGCATTTCTAGTGTGTGTTTACAGCACTGCACAGAAAATATCACAGATGCGCTTCGTTGTGGGGGATAACAACAAACCCAAAGTTCAAGCAACCACCTCAGGGCATCATGTTATAGTTTCCCAGAAAATAGCCGAGTGAGGACATCAGAGGAAAATGGGGAGCAGGAAAGGGACTGATCCTATTTGACTGTTTCCCCATGAACATCTCCCTTGCCTCCGTGCATTCTGGGTTCCAGGAGTGCCCTCTTATCACAGAGTGTGCATTCATACTGCAATTACTGTCTGCAAATTTCCACCGTCTCAGGACAGTGGAGATTCCTCGTTGTTTCCAAGCATCATAAAAGCCATAATATGAATGCATGCATATAATCAGAGTTCAGGTCCTAAGACAGCCCCGTTGCCTGCCGCCGCTTAGAAAGAGGCTTTCTCTGTGGTCAGATTACTCTGTAACTGTGCATTTAATGGACTCTTGCTCCCCCTTCTGAACAGCTGATAGTGCTAAATGTTTAAAATGGGGAAAATCGGGCCACACTATTTAAACAGAACAGCTGTTCCTGTGTGCCTGTAAAGGCAGCCGAGTTCTGAACAGGATGCAGGGCTGGTTACTTGTGTGTGCCAGGTTTATAGCACAACATACAGTTGTGGGATTACAACAGAAATAACTGTTTTGCTTGGCATGGGAATAAAGGCGACTTCTCTCTCTTTTTACTGGATACTTTAACTGGAACAACAACTTCTGATGTATTCGCAGCTGATAAGGATGGTAGTAATGCAGAGGTGGCCTTGGATGGGTTGAGAATATCATTCTTCTCAAATAAGGGCAGCTTTGTGTTCTCAGAATTCACTGCTTTGTTTGGCATGCAGAAATCTTCTAATGGAGCTAAACTTCCATCATTACACTGTGCGGCCAGCTAGACTGATACAAACAAGGTTGTAAGGGGTTGAGTCATCCCAGGCAAAGGTTCAAAGGAAGTTTGAAAAACAAAACAGCCAACAGGAGAGCAAAAGGACCGGCAGAGAGAAGCAGATTGTCATGGAGAGCGCTTCCTAAATCTTCAAAACATGCACGCAACTATTTGAACCTCCCTTAGCGTACACAAGATAAAACATGGTCCAATCTCAAGAGTGGCTCTCGCTCTTATCCTCTAGCACAGGACAAGCTGATCAAAGGGTAGAGAGCAAGCCCACAGAGGCCCAAGGAATGCATGCTCTCAGGTCTGAACTAGGTCTGGGTGGGGAAGAGAAAATGCAAGCCAACAAAACATCTTTGAATGTACTGCCTATATCTGCAGTGAGGGTCGACCTGAGGTCGGTGGCAGGCCCACTTGGATGAATGCCAGTCCAAGAGGTGGTTTGAAGGGGCAGCTCATTGCCATCGGGCCTTTTGTGGCCGTGATGGTGCAGTGAGCAACTTCCCCCCCTCCTCAGAGGTGGACTTTGGGGCCTCAAATTTCAGTGGTGCCCTGTGCAACGTCAAATCCCCGCCCCCGCCTCTCGCCTTCCATTCTACACCACAGTTGTGGTGCCCCTGCAGCACCCCCAAGGCTTCACTCCCAGTGCCACCAAACCAGTCATGCTCCCCTAAATCCACCTCTGCCCCTCTTCTCCCCCACTTCCCTGCCCGAAGATGGGCCACCAAATTGTGCCGTTCCATCTGAGTATCAGATGCTAGTGACTAAAATGGGGGATGTGTATCACCATCATGTCCACATTCACGCCATATATGTAAAGAGCAACGACAGCAACAGTCATGGCTTCCCCCAAAGTTTGTTAAGGCTGCTGAGAGTTGTTAGGAGGCCTTCTACATCCTACAGAGGTACAATTTGCAGAGTTCCCTATGAAGAGGACTCAAGAGATTTGTTAGCATGCAACCACATATTACATACCTCCTCTGCTGTCACCATGGCTATCACATTCACCCCTTCTTCCCACACCATTTGCCAGAAATCATGGCATGTTTGTGGCAAAGGTCCTTGTGTGGCTATGTAGTGCCATTCTTCTCCGCCCACTGTAACCTGAGGAAGAGAGAGAGAAAGAGAGAACAATAGATTACTATAAAATTCATGCCACAATTGAGCATCTTCACCTCTCTCTTTCTGCCATAGCAACTGTGCATAGTTAGGGAAGGGCCTTAGCTCACTGGTAGAGCTTCTGCTTTGCACGCATGAAGTCCAAGGTTCAATTCTTGAATCCCTGACATCCTCAGGTCGGGCTGGTTCAAGACCCTGGAAAATAGCTGCCAGGACACTGGTAAACCATACCGATGGACCAACGATCTGACTCAATACCAGGCACCTTCCTATGCTCTTTGTCATGAGCTCATAAAGGTTCATGCTTATCAGCCAGCTTAACCCACTCACCCATCTTTGCTGCTGTTACAGCAACATGCAATTTTCTTACATGCACAAAACACGGCCCTCTATTTATATTTTGGCTTTAGGACCTGGTTGGCTTAGCTTCAGAGGGCAATGTTGGAAACAAGGAAGCAGCAGAAAATGACCAGGGCTGTGGAGGAAAAATAACAGTCAATGCAGCGTTCAGAACCCCTTTCCATCCCTCCTTTATCCAGATGAAATACCCATAAAATACCCATTCTACAAATTTGCAAGGTGGCGGGGTAGAGGGGAGAAACCTGAATCAGAAGATGCAGGTCTGCCTCTGGCACATGATGATGATGATGATGATGATGATGATAACAACAACAACAATTTATATGCCACTCACCCAACTGAGTTGCCCCAGACACTCCAGGGCACTCTGGAGGGCTTCCAACAAATCAAAACATTAAACACAGTAAAACATCACACATTAACAACTTCCCTATACAGGGCTGTCTTCTAAAAGTCAGATAGTTATTTATTTCCTTGACATCTGACGGAAGGGAGTTCTACAGGGTGGGCAACAAGAGAGCCGCCAAAAGGACATTGGAACTGGACCTTAGTGTCTGGGATGAATGACGGGGGTAGAGACGCTCCTTCAGGTATACAGGGCCAAAGCCCTTTACCGCCATCCCAAGATTCAAGGCCTACATAAACACGCTCCTATGGTGAGCACATCATTATATGGTGTTTGTGTGTGAGAGAGATAGACATGTTTATTTCATCTGAGGTCAGAAACACCAAAGGTTGTTGAAAATCTAGTTAAGAATGATCCCAACAATTTCAGTGAGATTCAGAATCTGGACATAGGAATGTAAGTAGAGCCCTCCTTGACCAGGCCAAAGGCCCATCTAGACTAACATCCTGTTCTCATTGTGGACAACCAGATGCCTATGGGAAGCCCACATGCAGGAATTGAGTTCAATGACACTTTCTCCACTTGCAATTTCCAGCAACTGGTATCCAGAAGCATAGCGTGTCTATATTCCAACAGCTCAAAAGTAAAGAGAAAGTTGTTTGCTGATGTGGAGATATGAGCGCACCCACTGAAAACAGATTTCTTCTTTTTTTAGCATACACAGACTGAAGGCATGTTAATCTTGACAGCCAGGATCAAAGCAAAAAGGGAAAGGCAGACAACCCTACTGAAGACTGCAAGATTGGGTCTAGCAGCGTAGGAGTCTGGGGCAAGATCTTATCGTAATGTTACAGGAGTTTTGCTCTGCCTGCTCCGCCGTGGTCCAACCGCCCAGCCTGCTGGCACAAGGCATGGACAAAAAACCCATAAATAGTCCAGAGGGAGTGCACAGCCTGGAATGCGGCAGCACACTGCGGCCCGACTGCAGGATATTAAAAATTGATAACTGGGTGAAAAACACTCGCTGCGTGGCAGAGGTAAAAATCTGCAGATGCAATTTCACCTTCTGAGCAAAAGAACATCTGCTTGGCTTCTGCAACAGCCCCTTGAAAGAGGGGGAGGGGGGAAGTGCTGGCAGCACACAGGGTTGTATACTACTAAGCATCAGCACATGTCGCTACATGCGCTACAGAACAATGTGGGTACGTCCGAGGCTGACACACAAGATGAAATATGAACTCTTAAAGCTGGCTGGGGAGAATTCTTTCTGGGCCCCTGCCACCTGATGGAGCAAAATTATGCTCTCAGAAATGATTTGTCCTCCCCCCCCCAAAAAAAAATGGATGGGGGGGTGGGGAATTCAGATTCCGTAATCAGTCATCCAAGCTGAGGTAGGTTGTGCCAAAAACACACAGTATCTGCTACCCACCAGATCTTTTGGCAGAAATCTGACAGGGTTCTGGTTTTAGAGAGGTGTTTTGACTCAACAAGGGCTTAGCATTGTAAATTTATGACCAAACCAAGCTTGGAACTTGGTACGGATGTCTTGCAGCCAAGATATGCTCATAATTTAATACTGTTTTGACCAACGCAGAAAGTGTTCATAAAAGCAGATCTGTTCAAGTTTTGTCAAATCACCCTTGACCATTCGGCCTGCTGGCCGAGGCTGGTGAGAGTTAAGAGTCCCAACAGCATCTGCAGGGCCACAGATTCCTCACTCCTGACGCAAAGAGGTTTGCTTCCAGAACCACTCTCCTATAGGCCATACAATTAAAGCGTATTTAAAGCACATTTCTGTCTCCCCTAAGAATTCTAGGAAGTGGAGTTTATCCCTCACAGAGCTACAACTCACAGCAAATTAACCAATTGTAGTTCTCAGGTTTCTTTGATAGGGGTTAAATGTGCCTTAAATGTACGGTGTGTACGGTAAAAGTAAAGGAAGCGGGTGGCACTGTGGTCTAAACCACTGAGTCTCTTGGGCTTGCTGATCAGAAGGTTGGCGGTTTGAATCCGCATAATGGGGTGGGCTCCCATTGATCTGTCCCAGCTTCTGCCAACTTAGCAGTTCGAAAGCATACCAGTGCAAGTAGATGGTGTGTACACAGCCATAGTGGTTAAGAGTCCTGGATGTGGACAGGAGAGACCCACATGCAAATCCCCAACTCAGCCATCAAGCTTACTGTATAACCCTGGGCCAGTCACTCCCTTTCCACTTAACCTACTTTGCAGGGTAATTAGGATAAAACAGAAGGGAGAAGGGTCACAAATGCCACCCAAAATGACCTTCCTTTCACAGATTGTTCAGCTTTTCCAAATTCAGGGTACAGAACGTAGGGACGGCATAGGGCCAGGGCCTGAGAAGCAGCAGAGTTCAAAGCAAGGTTCAGCCATGGACTGAGGATAGCACAGATTTTCCTAGGCTAGAACCCAGGGTGCCTTACTGGGTTCAAGGCAAAAGTCTTTACAGAACCTGCAGCACTCACACAGCTTTCCAGCCTGTTTTTAACTTTGGTTCCAAGCCACTCAGAGTAATAGGAATGAATAATACCTGCACTGGTAGAATCTGGGCAACATGCAAATCTACTCGTACTAGGCATCTTTGTGCATGCTCTGAGTGAATTGTGAAAACCACAGTCCACACTGAGGTTTTTTTCCCCCTACCAGACTCACAAAGTGTCCTCAAGGAAGCCTGCTGTCTTCGCTTACAAAAGAGGGACATAACAATGTGATCCTACTCATGTTTGCTCAGGGCCACTGGGAGGCTGCCACTCCAAAGAACATCATGGCAAACTGGAGATCAACCTGGCCCTATTCCCTGGTCACGGAGGGAGAAGCTGCACTTGGCTTCAGCTGCCAGCTGCCCCAGGACTGCACAATTGAAAGGCAGCACACCCTTGCCCCAGGCTTTGGCCGCGGGACTGAAGGATCCTGGCTCCAGGAAGAACAGTATGGCAAAGGGAGACTAACGTGGACGCATTCATCAGCCAAAGAACAGAGCTTGCTTCCCCCTACCTTCCCTGCCAGAAATAACACTGGTGAACTGGTGCTCAGAGTTTGCTTTTTTTCCTCCTCCCTCCCAAGTCCCTTTTCCCTTTGTGCTGTTGCCTCTACATTGTAAGCCGGAGGGAAAGGACTGTCTTATTAATGGTTGCTTTCAGCTGCTTTTTGTGGCTGAAGAGCAGGGTAAAAATAAAAGAAAGAATGAAAGAAAAAAGAAAGAAAGCCTTGTGTCAGCCCAAGTTGAGTCACGGAATAAGGTTATTGTGAGGACGAAGAAAGGTTAAGGCGGGAGAGGCACTATTCATGTTAAAAAAATGTTTAACAAATTATAATTATTACAATCCTGTGACGACAGGCATGGATTGTATATAGGTTAATTGAGGCTGAGAAGAGTGTCTGGGGACTGGCCAGCCCGGTAAGCTCACATCCCAGCACAGTTCACATCTGAATTCTGGCCTCCCAAGTTCAAGCCCAGCCTTCCTACCCACAAAGGCAGTTTCTTTCCGTCCCCCCAGTCTTTACCTTTATGTGTGAGGCGTTGATGTAGCCCGTGTTGTTTTCTTTGGTTGGGACAAGCTCCACGCGGTTCTCCTCATACGGAATAACTTCTCGGACACGGTTACGCTCGGAATTCTCCGGAAGCGTCGCTGTGGTAAAGACCCCGTCTGCCTTCCTCTTAGGAATCTGCTCATATTCAGTGAACACCATCCCCTCTTCTAGTTTCCTCCTCAGGATTTTGCACTATTTTCAATTTAAAACAAAACAAAATCACAAAAGAGGGCATTCTATTCAAAAGTGATTCCTCATATAAAATACAGTCAAACCTCGGGTTACAGATGCTTCAGGTTGCGCGTTTTCGGAAGTACTAGAACAGGTTATTTCCAGCACTCACATATGCGCAGAAGTGCCTAATCGCAACCTGCACATGCGCAGACGTGGCGCTGCGGGTTGCGAACGTGCCTCCCGCACGGATCACGTTCGCAACCCAACATCCACTGTACTGCAGTTGCTTGTCTTTCAATGATGAGATAAATCATCCGAGGAGCCCCCCCCCCCCCAAAGAATGCTAAGGGTGTCTATTTCTTCCATCTTGCCTGCATTAAACTCTCTACCAGAGTTACGTTCTCTTCAGGGTGGGGTGGGGAGGTATTTTACAGATGACACCATAATCTAAAACTCCTGATAATCTATCCCACCTGTTTCACATAGAAGACAGTTGAGAAGAAGTATACACTTGAGGCCAAAGGACCATTCAAAGAACAAAGAGGTGAAATCAATAATCACCCCATCCCCAATTACTTTCTCTGACTGTAACATTGGGGGGGGGGGTGGAACCATTTTAAAACCCTTTCATTTCCCAGGGGTGAGAGGTCTAGGAAGACCAGCAAGGCTGAATTGGCTGTGTTGATCTTTAGATGGAAATAGTCTGCAAAGGCTAGAGTCTCAGTCTTACGATGTAAGGA